AGAAAATAAGTAAATACAGTTTTATATTAGCAAATGAATTACAAACAATTGGCTTCTACTTGCACAGAATTAAATAAATAATGTTTGGGATTTAAGATTAGAAGTTTAATTAATCGTTCACTTTATCCAGTCTTATGGACAAATCTTGAGTTTGGTGTATTTTCTCCTAACAGTGTCTCATTTTACCTTAACCGTAGTTTATGTTTTCTCGGAAGTGGGTATTTGGGGATAAAACGCTCTATCCAAAGAATTGGCTGCCTCGTCTTAAGAATGAAAAATTCACCCAGTGCATCTGAGGTCGCTGTGGCTTAGCTCAACTAATGTAATTTAGTGCGGCAGATTTTCTTCTTAAAAGCTGCATACAATTTCGTAAAAGCTCTATATCTTCTGAACGATTTAGAGAAAATTTATAGAAAATTTTTACTAGCACCATAATTCATCTATGGACGACATTTTAAGATCGTTTGAGATGCATTCTTTTAAATTTAAGGAACTTTGGTTAAATAATACTACTGCACTTTGCAAGATGAAGAAGTTTTTAGTTACTGCTTCTGTAAATCTGCATGCGTGACAAAAAGAAAGGTCAAATGTTGCACCAAAAAAAAAAAAAAAAAAAAAAAAAAAAAAAGAAAGAAAAAGTCTTAAACCTTCTAGATTTTGTTTGCGCCCAAAGAGGCGGTAGTGTTGCCACTGTTCGCTTTGAAATCGTTGGGTTTGTTAATCGAAAATTCGCTAAAGATTTACAAAGCATAAGATTCAAAATTCGGGCTTTCAGGTGCCCACATTCGGGTGCCGGCTCTAGGCACCCTTGTTTTTTAATAATGCGAAAAGCATAGATACATTAATCCAAATTTTTCATTATTTAATTTCTTTAAATATAATACAGGGCAATAATAATTAGTGGCAATAATTTGTAAAGAGATTTAGACTTTTATAATGATTCAACGAGAAAAACGTTCCTTTTGGCTAAAAAAGGACACTTCTGTATGCTCTGTTCTACTGGGCCAATTGACAATATTTGACTTGCATTTTTATTTCTCGAAAGCGCAACTAATTATATATATATTAGATTTATATATAGCAATGTTATATATAGTATAGGAGTAGGGAAAAGGATTTATATATAGCGTAGGAATTTTGATACAAAATCGGAATTTTTCTGGTATGATATAACTTTTTTTTCATATTTTGATTCTACGACTCAAATTATGCCCAAATATTAAGTTTTGTAAAATCTGGTAATAAACTTTCAAAGAAATGTAAACATTTAACTTAACGCACTTTCAATTGACGAAAAGCCTAATTCACTTAAAGAAACTCTTAATTTTCAGGAACCTATTTTCCTTTCCCTTTTTATATATGCAGGAGCCGGAAAAAAGGGGCACCTTTCATTTTTCCAAATAACTCTAAAAATGGGCGTACGCCACGTTTGACGTCAATCTTCGGAAAAATTTAATAAAATACTCTAATTTTTTGCAAGCATGGCCTAGAAATACATCTGCTGTAAGATGATGGTAGAAATTGTATAGGTTTCAGGTAGAAATTGTATAGGCACTCAAAAATGTTTTCAAAATATTTACAAAAATTATTAAAAAAATACAAATTTTGAAAACAATTAACTCTGTTTGGATTGAACCTAAATTTCGAACTGTGAAAGAAGTACCATATATACCCGCGTATAAGTCGAGATATTTTGGACAAAAAAAGACTTCAAAGTGGAGGGTCGACTTATACGCGGGGCCATAAAAAATTAAAAGAATAGGAAGTTCAAAAATTTCTTTGTATAATGCAGTTGTTTTCTTCCCGCACTCAAATTGGACGACTTATCAAATAAGTCACTTACTTGAAGTAATTTCATGACTTAAATTATGTGGCGAACTCGCAGAGTTTCATACTTTAACTAGAGTAAGTTTCGATTAAACCAAAGAATTTTCGGCCCCGGAACAATAAAAGGCCGATATTACATTAATTGCTCAGTGGGTTAATGATGCTTGGAACGAAATACCTTCTGAAATAATTATAAAATCATTTAAAAAATGTTGTATTAGCAACGAACTAGACGGCACGGAAGATGATGCTGTTTTTGAAAGTTAAAATGACGATGAAGGCTCTAGTAGTGATTGTAACAATACAGAGTTCGAGACTGAAAATATGTATGATGACGAGCCAATGACGACAGAAGAGTTCTATGAAATATTTGGCGAATCGGACGTTGAAGGATTTTGATTTTGTTTATTTACCAAGGTATTTTTTATCGTATATTTACTTTTTTTTCTCAGATGATTTTGAATAAATGTAGTACTTAAAAAAATTTTTCGAAGTTTCTCGATCGATTTCGGAAGTGGGGGGGGGGGTCGACTTATACGCGGGTTTCTTATTTTCTACGAATTTTTTATGTCGAAGTGGGGGGTGGGTAGTCTTATACGCGGTATCGACTTATACGCGGGTATATACGGTAATTGTAAGTTTAATAAAAAAGATATATTAATAAACATATACCAAATTCAGTTAGCACTGAGAAGATAAAATTTTTAGAGCTAATTTTTTCAAACTACTCGTGTGGCATAAATTGAGTAGTAGACTCAAAAATACAGAAAAACATCGGTATCTCAGTTCACAAAAGCATTAAAATTTTTAAGTCAAAATTCCAGAAAGGTCAAAGTCCGAAAGTGATATTATGTGTGAAAATACTTATGTTACAATAATGCTATATATAAATCTAATATACATCCTAAGTCGCGCTTTTGAGACATGAAAAACGCAAGTTAAGTTTCGTCATTCAGCCCAGAAGAAAAGAAGATATAAAACAGTCCCCCCCCCCGTTTTTTGTGCAAGGTGTACATACTCATCATGTAGAGAAGGAATACGTGAAAAGAGTTCATGAACTGTAAGTGATCATGACATTATTTTAAATTTAAAAGAGGCATTAAGATAGAGTTATATTTATAAAGCTTTAACTTAGTATTTGATTCAAATGTTCAAAAGTATTCATTTAGATTTTCATGACTGATCTGGTAAATTAACTGTTGATCATCGGTTACATCATTTTCCTAACATTCTCAGCTTTAATGGACCAAACATTTGAACACTAATATATTTTGATATGTGGAGAAACTCTCTCTTTGTCTAGTTTAATCAGGGTGAGGCCACACAATACCTGATTCTGAGAAATTCGTTCTGCATTTTATCTAAATACGCCTTATTCAATAATATTTCAAATATACTAAACAACTCCGTTTCACATAAAGATTCTCATACTGGAAACATACTTCCGTAGGAAATTTTCTTGCAACTCCTTACATTTTAAAAATAAAATTAAGTGTATAAAATTACCACTAAAATAAAAGCCGAATCATAAAGGAATTCTTTTAACGAGGCAAATAGAAGCCATAAGACGATCATGTTTTTTAATATGCCTAGTTTGGAGATAAAAGTTTAAACTTAAAAAACAATTACTCATATAGCTTATTCTTTTGACTAGGCTGGATCACCATAAAATAATTAAACTCTAAGCATATATTTGTTCTCGTTTTTATCCGCCATTTTCTCTTTGTTTCTTTGTTCTCGAATGAATAAGAGATTATATAATGTAGAAATTTATTCTCATTGTAATATCATTTAAAAATGTTACACAAACAGTTGACGTTCATAATAAGAACTGTTAAAGAAACGAAGAAATCTGAACTGAATGCGTGAATAACAAAACTACCTATAAGTAAATATTAAGAAACAATAAATTTTGAAGCATTATTTCTTTCGTAAATGCGCCGAATTATTTATATCATTCTGTTATTCTATAGAACAAGGTAAGTTATATTCTATTGCATTTATATTTAAAAGTTTAAAAATTTTGAATTATCCATTTTAATACAGAATATTCTCAAAAGAATATACGATATTCTTTTATTAAAAATAATATTCTCGATTTAATTTCCTTCCTCTTGACAATAGTTATAAATCATATCTGCAAAAGCCATTCCTACCTTTACGTAATGCATTAGGAGCACAGAACTGATTAAAGCTAAACAACAAACGCTAAACAATTGTAAGTGACAGTAAGTATTTATATTTCTCACACAAATTGTAGCGAATGTAAATGACTAGTGAAATTTTTTATTTACATACAATTGCAATTTTTAAAATACGTGTAATATTTATTAAATTATTGTCTACTGCAGTCCAAGTTTAATTCAGTGAACACTGCACATAGTAAATATTTACACTTCTCAGATACAATACAGAAAATGTGAATGACTAATGAATTTTAATAGTTAAATAAAATTGCAGTTTTTGAAAAACCTTTAATATTTATTAAATTATTGACTCACTGCATTCCAGATTTAATTTATTAAACATTACAGAGTTTAGTACTTGATACCATAATGAATTAAATGCGTCATGCAAACATCACTTTACAGTACGCTAGTACATACTTTTAGTTTCTGCTTGTGATTTATTCCGAAACGAATGTGCTGAATTTAAATGCATTTTTTTTAATTTTATTTTACATTATATTTACGAAACACGATAACAATTTACGATTACGATTTACGATCTTTAGATTATATTGGTACGAAATGTCCAGCCGTGATAAAATAGCTTCCCCGTAAAGCAGGTTTAGGGTTGCCAGATTTGGCACGAAATCGCCCATTTGGCGACAATATTGGCGCGATATATATATATATATATTCCCAAACTCAAGAGTTGCAATATTTGCTGCAGTTGACGTTTATTTGCCCTTAATAGGTGGAACCCGATGACTTGAAAGAAATAAATTCTTACACACTTTTCAAAGTTGAACAGTTGATGCTCAAGTTATCACGTATTTCAAGAAAATTGATCTTGAAATATATTTTAAATTTATAACTAAAATATTACATCCCAAAAGTTATAAAAAATACAAGTTTATTATTCTTAACCCGATAACTTCAGTCTGAAGCAGATGAGAAGTTTTAATAAAATTTTAAACAATTAACTAAATTTTAGAAGAGATAACTTACCTATTACAATAACCTTCATAACTGAATTCATTGTTCTTGAGCGTCTAAAATCCACGCGACATCGGTATTCTCCTCCATCATTTTCTTTCACTGGTTTTATATTCAAAATGGCAACAGTCCGACTTATATTAAATGTGGCTCGGCTTTCAAGTTCCTTGCTGGCGAACTTCTTAGGTGCTACTCCGAAAACTTGCCTTGTGTCCACGCTATATATGGGATTACCTGAATCATCTTTGTACCACAGTATGAGAGTCACTTGATCATCAGGCATAGTAGCCGTCACATTACATGGTATGCTAATTTCTGAGCCTATCACAGAGATGAGTTCACTGTATTCTGAAATATAAACAAAATGTTCATTAGTAAGAGTTTGATATATTTTTATTACACACGATTCATTTAAGAAAATATAATTAAGACACTCTGAAGAACAGTTTGCCATAATAAAACTAGTACACAAGAGTGCATTTATTTTCATAAATTAAAAAACAACTTCTGAAGTTTTTTCAATAAAAGTTTTCTCCCTTCCCAATGGCGGGCACACAAGGGATCATAGATATTTGACCGCTACTAACTGGACCACTTTGTACTTTTGACCTTGACCACTTTTTAACTTTGACCTTGACCACTAGACCTTTGACCACTGTTATGGTGAAAGCTAGACCACCTTTGCTTCATAGGCCTCGTTTGCGTTCATAGATGGCCTATGCGTTCTTAGGGCCACCTTTGCTTCCTATGAACAGATGGACAGTTACAACCATACCCTCTTCGGGACTCAAACCCGGGCCTTTTGGCCTAACCACTGTACTGTCTGTGCGGCATAAAGGACTTCGCAAGAGTTAGTTTTTCTTATAAAAGAAAATATCATTGCGAGAATAATAACTGGTGGGCAACCGAAAAGCAAACTGGGTAACTGAAAAAATAATAATTACTAATGAATATAAGCTTAGAAGGAATTCAATGAGATGTATTTTTAAGGGCAGAATTCATATCACTTCTTATATATGTGTTTACGGAGAAACTGTAAGGAAGAATACAGTAAATAAGACGATTTAACTTGCTTTATTAAAGAAAACAAATTGCCAGAAATTTACAGTCATAGTAATATCATATAATTATGGGCAGCATTCTACTGTATATAAATACAAATAAATTTGTCATAAATTATCGAATAAGCATTTTCCTTGAAAGAACGAATATAGTGGAATCCCTAGCGGATAATACGATTCAATATAAATATAATGATAATAATATTATCATTTCGTATTAAATGAAGGATTAGATGCATTCTGATAACTAAAACAGTTATTTTTTCTAACATTTTCTATATTTTGTTCCCGTTGAAGAAAAAATGCGGTAAAATATAAAAATTGAAATGCAATACAGGTACTACTCAATTTATTATCATGTTGCACAAACGAACAAAATTAAGATTTATTTTTTAATTAATTAAACTTACGCTATTAATAGAAATTCTGAAACAACACGATTTTACTTTTAAGATTTATTAAAATAAAGTATCGTGCACATACAAGTGTCTAAAAAACATTAAGAAATATTGAGAAAGTGTCTAAAATACATTGAGAAATATTACGTATTGCCAATAGATTTAAAATATTTGTGAAAGATTAGAATAAAAAGACATTTAGAATATATACCACTATATTACCTTCAGAAAAAATTATCAAAATTTATAGAAAACTTGTATGAACTCTGCATTTGCATTTTTCTTTAAGTTTATTAGTAAATACTCATATTGTTCTGCATTTGTTGACAGTAGAAAAAAGAAGTGCTTTCTAATTAATTTTTTTTTTCGATCATAACAGAATATTTTTTTACAAAGCAAAATTTATAAATGAAACGAACTACAAAACAGCTCTACCATTTTCAAAAATCATGTTAAACCTTTTCAAACAGAGAACTCATCATTACTTTTCAAATCATGCGTCCTTTATCACATTGAAATAACAACATACGAAAAGAAAACAGATTTAAGCGAGAGATTGGATCCAAAAAAGAAAATTGTTTTCCGTCTTCCTTACAAAATGGTTCGAAACGAAACAAGTTTTTATTACGCCTGAGACTCACCAAGCCTTTTTACTGTCTCCCTAGAGTATATTAGAAAGACTCTTGTCCACCATTTTAGAAACACGATCGCTAAGTGTTGTCGCTTTAAATTGAGTATTGAGACTTTTTTTTCACTCTACATTCTTTTCAATGTGTGTATATTTAGAAAAGGGAAAAAAAAAATATGATGGCATCAGAGCATCAAGTTGTAGTACAAATCCCTCTTCGTCAAAGCGATTAAGTTTCAATTTTTTAAGGATGCCTTACATTTATTTTGTAGGGTATTCGTTTATACCCTGAATGACATATGATCCAACTTTTCTCACTTGAGTAGGGCTTTTAAAGGGGGGATAATGTTTAAAGACACTTGAGAAAAGTTCTCTGAAAAAAAAAAATTAAAATGGTGTTTTAATTGATTAAAATAGTTTCATTTTTTCAGAAATTATACTATCCACCTAAGGATTTAAATTCAAAATAAATTTTGAAATTAAATCTAAATACTAAGAAATTTCTTTGCTTTACTTAAATTTTCATAAATATCTGAATAAATTGCTCTAGAGAGAAAATGTGTGCTGGAACAAATTGAGTGAATCCACAAAAAGTCTTCAGAGTAAAGCAGTTTGTGCAAAAACACTGTTTCGAATGGATTTTTTTTTTTTTTCCTTTGAGAACATACAGACTTCCCGTGCACCACATAAGTACAACACGGGGCTTACAGAAGTAAGTTAACTAGAACATTAAAGGTTACATGTATAAACAAACATTAAAAATTACATGCATAAATAAAGCGAAGAAAAGCAGAGAACAGCAGTCTGAACTTCACGAAAACAGATAAGTTCACTAGCCAAGTCACTCCGAACATTTTCAAATCGTTCTGTAAGCATAATCTAGGGCCATCAAATGTAGGGCACGAGAAAATCAAATGTTCCACATCCTGAGGAACTCTTTTTGAACATTCACATAAATTGTTTGATCGTAGATTAAAACGAAAGAGATAACTTGCAGATTTACCGTGACCAGATAAAAACTGAGACACTTTAAAATTTAACGAGAGGAAAGACTCGGAATTCTGTCTATGGTAAATAGAAGGAACTTTTTGGTGACTTCAGCATTACAAGAGGAAATGTATTCCTCATTCCACATAGCTAAAAGCTTTTTGTAATGAAAGGACTTCCAATAACTCTTTGGAATGCTAATGTTGATATCAATGGGTAAATTTAAGGCATCTTTAGCTAAGAAATCAGCTCTTTCATTTCCGTAGAAACCATGATGAGCACGCACATAAGCAAAGCACATATCAATACCTCTAATTCTAAGTGAACTAACAGTTACTAGGGTTTCGATAACTAATTTATCGCAGCTGGTAATACTGTTCAAAAGTTGAAGAGAAGAAAGAGAATCAGAACAAATAAGGTACTTTGAGGATGTTGTTCCATGATCCTGGATCCATTTGAAGGCAAGATAAATGCACAGAAGTTCTGCTTGAAAAACTGTACATTCATTCCGTATACGGTGTCTAAGAAAACAAATCTCGGAATGGCCTTCAAAAAGAACAAATGCAAGGCCAACCTTGGCTGATTTAGAATGAAACGCAATTACATCCGTCATTTTTACAGACTTTTATCATATTTTCCATTTTTCTAAAGATTTCTTCTTAACCCTTTACTGTTGTAGAGTCAGTAAGTTTTTTTTTTTTTTTTGGGGGGGGGAGGGGTTGTTTTTTCAATGCGGGAGACATGAAAAATGAGCAATGACCTCGCCGGAACTCGAACCTGGACCTGTGGAATACGCGCCGAGTGTGCTATCCTTACACAACGAAGGCATGGTGGAAGAAGAGAGAAAATACCGTATTGATATAAAAATAGTACATAGGAGTACATTTTTCTTTAATGTTAAGGGTTTTGCTACCAACGAATTCTTGCTAGCTGTAGAAAAGAATCGTGCTTTAATTTATCATCTGCTGAGGTTATAAAACAAAGCAGACCTTTCGAATAAATTTTTGTTTCGTGAAAGTGTGTTTGGAATGAAGAGAAAAGCACTTTCTTTTTAGAAATTTAGATCGCCTGACACATATTTAATGTACGAACTTTCTCCTATGGGCTACTTAAATCTTTCTAAAACTTTCATTATATCATCAATTATTTCAAAATTGACATATTAATGTTATACATCTCGGCTACTCAAATTGCCTAACTTTTTAGTTAAGCTTTTATAAGTTTATGACGCTATATTATGCATAGGACTACAAGGGACTAGACTGCCGGCGCCAGTCTTATTGTGGCGGACGCTGGCGCCCAACCGATCTCATTTGTTTCGAGCATACCGAACGCCAACAACCTTGTTCTTATTGTACTTCATCTAGTTCTTCTGTACTAGAGCTCAAAAAGTGATAATTTGAGTGATATTTTTAAATCTAAAAATATTTTTATTAATTTCAATTTATATTTTTCTCAAATGTGTCTGACACAATTAGATGCTTTTCGTCCTGAGTTTGAGTAACAAAATATTTTTATGAAAAATGTGCTACCGACTTATAAAGACATCTTACGCTCGTTTTTATCAATGCAATTTTTTCAGTGTTCCTAATCAACAGGAACCCTTAATAAAATCTTAATAAGAATACATTCTGACTAAACTGTGCTTACCAATAATAAGAAGAGTCCAAGCTTTATGAGAAAACGTTTCTATCCCCGTTGTTTCGGGGTTAAAAAGTACTTGACACTCGTGTTATTTTAACAGATTTAAATTTTAAATAACATTTTATTATATCTGCGTAGGTTGGTAACATACTAGTATTTTCATCAAAGGATTTTGGTTCCCCATATGCGGGACGAAGCGTACTTGAATTGGATGCATTTACACAGATTAAATATTAATGATAATTAACATTGTCCTTTATTTTAAAATTGCTTATTAAAAGGAGGAAATTTAATTCACAGAAGAATGAATCAAATACTGTAAGATTTAACTCTTTAGAGACTGGTCTGCTCATAAAAACCGGTACAATAGGGCCCCATTGCTCGATATCATGTGCCGGCGTTTTGCCCTTGTATTCTTACAGCTTATATAGAAAACTGAAAAGTTTGGTATTTTGCGTAACCGAGTTGCATAACATAAATATACTAACTTTGATTTAGGATGATTTAGGAAGATAACAATAAGGGATTTAGGAATTTTATTTGCATCTCTTTTACTTTATGTATCATTATTTTATTTAATTTTATTGCACAATGTATGACTAATCTGCAAAGAATGCAGCATTTAATTAT